CAAATCTGGAGGACTCCTACTTCTTGATACCAATATTTATTACCAAGTTATATTAATCAAAACTGTGTGGTACTGGCATAGAGACAAACACAGACCAGTGGAATAGAACAGAGGGGCCAGAAATAAACCCTTACACTTTTGGTCAAATTTCGACGAGGGTGCCAAGACCATTTAATGGGGATCAGTCTTTTAATAAATGGTGCTGGAAGAAAACTGAATCCTTATCTAACACCATATATATAAAAAAATTAACTCAAAATGGATCAAGGATGTAAATGTCAGACCTAACACAGTAAAACTCTTAGAGAAGAAAACATAGGACAGAAACTTCACAACACTGGATTTGGCAATGATTTCTTGGATATTATACCAAAGACACAGATGATAACAAACTGAATTTTAGAAAATGATCCACAGAATGGGAGAGAATATTTGCAAATCATATATCTGATTAACAAATTAATATCCAGAATACATAGAAAGCTCCTAAAACTCAACAATAACAAAAACTTTGATTCAGAAATGGGCAAGGGACTTGAACAGACGTTTATCAGAAAAGATACAGGAATACCAACAGATATATGTAAAGATGATCAACATAACTTATCATCAGGGAAATGTAAATCAAAACGACACTGAGATATCACCTTCTACCCACATGGATGGCTGCCATCGAAGTAAAAGAGAACAAGTGTTTTTGGGAATGTAAGATGGTGCAGCTCCTGTGGAAACAATATGGAGGTCCCTCAAAAAATTAAAGATAGAATTACCAGATGATTCAACAATCCCACCCAGAAGAATTAAAAGCAGGTTTCAAAAAAACATTTGTATACCCATGTTTAAAGGAGCATTGTTCACAAAAGTGAACATCAACATGTGAATAAGCAAAATGTGGTATATACATATAAATGAAATATTTTTCAGCCTTAAAAAGGAGGAAAATTTGGCAATATGCTACAACATTGATGAACATTAAGGACGTTATGGAAAAAGGGCAAATATTATATGATTACAGTTTGCCACTGAATATGCTATTATCAAGGTCACTTATGACCAAACACTACTGGTCAATTCTCAGCCCTCATCTTATTTGGCAATTTTGGGAAATGTTTTGATTATCACAGCTTTGGAAGGGGAGGGGGAGGGGGCAGAGGGGAAGAGGTGCTACTGGCATCCAGTGGGTAGGGGCCTGGGATGCAGTTAAACATCCTACTATGTTCAGGATAGCCCTCTCTCCCATGAATTTCTGGTCCAAATGTTGATAGTACTGAGGTTGAAAAACTGGTCTAAACAAAAGGGAAAAATCCATGTAATCTAGACTGGACCTGGGAGAAGAACATGGCGCAAAAATAAAAACTAAGAATTCAAGCTGAGTTGGTAAAAGAATGATGGTATCATTAACAGATACCCATAAGGAGGATGAACAGGTAGTGAAGGGCAAGGAAGATGAGCCTGAGTTTTAGAAATAATTACTTGAAAATGCATCCATATAAATATGTGAGTTCTACAGAGAAACAGCTAGACAGATATACAGACTGATATAGATAGACCTACAGATATACAGATTTGACAGCTGATATTAAGAATCTTAGGGTAGGACCCAGGGAGAATAGCCTACATTGGGTACCTAAAATTATACCCCCTGACAGTCTTCACTGAGTATTCTATGTCTTTCTTATCATTAAAATGAATCTTTTGAGAGTTCTTGTGATCTGATTATGTCAGCACTGCAATTTCAGTTATAGTTACTATTAAAAAAATGTAGACAGCCCAATTTAATTTTTGGAAACAGTTGTAATGAGTCAGATCAATGTTTGAAAGTTGGGCCTGTGTTAATTAATCATGTGACTTTGGAAACAAGTTTTAACTTCTATCTTAGTTTCTTCATCTTAAGTAATATTTTAAGCAACACCATCCTTTCTCCCAAGTATCCTATTACCTTATTTATGCACTCACTCATTTTATCTCTCTCCCTTTCTTACTATTTTTCTCTTTATTATATCTCATTTTAACATCCATTTTTTGCCATTTCACATACCTAAATACTTTCTTTACTACAATGTTGTAGTATTTCTTACAATAATGTAAGATTTAATTATAATGCAAAAATAATTCTAAATATTTTACCAGTCTACTTGAAATGACATGATGAGCAGAAGCAGCTTAGAAGGAAGGGTGAATTTCAGCTCTACTAACCAGGATTTTACTGTTTAAGCACATAAGCCTCAAATTCCTCACCTAAAAAAATGGGTCTAAATCAAAGCAGGATGATGTACTGGCAGAAAACCACACACAAAGATCAATGAAACAGAACAGGTAGCCCAGAAATAAACCCATACACATATGGTCAGTTAATTTATGACAAAGAAGCCAAGAATATACAATGGGGAAAGGCGAAGCCTCTTCAATAAATAGTATTAGGAAAACTGGACACCCACATGCAAAAAAAACAAACCTAGACCACTATCTTATACCATATACAGAAATCAACTCAAAATGGGTCAACGATTTGAATGTAAGACCTGAAACCATAAACTTCCTAGAGGGAAACAGGGGTAAGCTCCTAGTTATCAGTCTTGATTTTTTTTTCTTTTTGGACACCAAAACAAAGGAAACAAAAGCAAAAATAAAGTTGGGCATATTAAACTAAAAACCTTCTATACAGTGAACAAACTTATAAATGAAATATTTTTCAGCCTTAAAAAGGAGGAAAATTTGGCAATATGCTACAACAATATGCTACAAAATGAAAAGGCAACCAGAGGAATGGGAAAATAGTATTTGCAAATTATGTATCTGATAAGGGGTTAATGTCCTATAAAATAAAGAGATCATACAACTTAACAGAAAACAAAAAACAACCAAATAACCTAATTAAACAATGGGGAAAGGACTTGAATACATTTCTCTAAAGAAGACATACTAACGGCCAACAAGTATAAGAAAACGTGCTCCACATCTCTAACAATCAGGGAAATGCTAATCAAAACCACAATGATTATCACCTCACACCTCTTAGAATGGCTATTCCCAAAAAGAGGTAGTGTTGGCCAGAATGTGGAGAAAAGGGAACCCTTGGTGCATTGTTGGTGGGAATGTAAACTGGTATAGCCACCACAGAAAACAATATGGAAGCTCCTCAAAAAATTAAAAATAGAACTACCATATGATCCAGCAATCCCACTTCTGGTATTTATCCAAGTGAAATAAAAACAGGATATTGAAAAGATATATGCACCCCATGGTGCATATTCACTATAGACAAGATATTGACACAACCTAAGTGTCTGTTAATGGGTGAATGAATGAGGATGCAACACACACACACAAGTATTCTTCAGCCACAAGAAAAAAGGAAATCCTGCCTTTTGTGACAAGATGGATAGACTGTAAGGGCATTATGCATAGTTAAATAAGTCAGAGAAAGACATATAATGCATGGTATCACTTATATGTGGAATCAGATAAATAGATATAATAGGATCAACTTCAGCTATTTCGCAAATGTGTTATAAAAGGCAGTATAATTCGTTTTTATTTTTTTTTATCTTCACCCGAGGACATTTTTGCATTTATCTTCAGATAGAGCAGGAGAGAGAGAAGGGGGAAGAGAGAGAGAGAAAGAAACATGGATGTAAGAGAGACACAGCGACTGGTTGCCACTCACACTACCCCAACTGGGGCCAGGGACAAACTGAAACTGAGGTATGTGCCTTAGTTAGAACTGAACTCGGGACTCTCTGATTCATAGGCTGATGCTCTAACCACTGAGGCAAACTGGCCAGGGCTGTATAACTCTCTATTACAGCCTCCTCTTCCCATTTCCTTGACTGTTAGTAAACTTACAAAGATTTCTTCTTTTAAGTTTAATGTCCACTTCTGGCTTTCTCTTGTCTTTGCATGAAGGTAGCATTACAGACATGGTGTCAGGGTACAGTTGCTTGTTTTATCTTGAGCACACCTTAATTTCCATCTAGTGGTATTTATTTCATTATTCATCTGTTTTTCCTACCAGCTTATTTTCACAGACTCTTCTAAATTATACGTTAACTTTCCCTTTTCCTTCTTGCCCAATCTATGTAACAATTTTTATAATAATGTTTACTTTCCTCATGAAACATTTACTTTACATGTATTGAAAGACTCTTCAGAACATGGTCTGGATCAAATCAAGAATCACTAAACTTCCTATAGTAATTCATTAAAGTTAAAACCAAGTTATGAGCTTTTGGGAGCAAAACTATTTTTCCCACCACCAATTACCTGAGATCTATGAAGAATGTGTGTGTGCTCAGAAGCTTCTAATACAGGTGAGAGACAAGTGTCACAAACAGGATACAATGAAAAATGAACTATTTCTCATATTCTAACTGGATTTAGAGACCGGTGAGATGTTACTATTATAAAGTAAAAGTGATCCATTAACAGAATCTAATGTATAAATGCTGCTACTGTGACACACATTTATAATTTCACAATTTAGATATCACCTATCAGGAGCTACCAGGCAAAAGGCAGAGCCAGCCAATTTATCCAAATAAAATACTTGCATACATGAAGAAGTTATATAAATTAACTGTACTAAGTATGTTATGTAGTAAAGTATCATAATCTCAATTTAACAAACTCAGTACTGTGGGATCTGGAGTTGAGAAATGTATAGACTTTTAATGAAATTTACAAAATTAATTAGCACTGGCCAGGTGGCTCAGTTAGTTGGAGCGTCGTCTGTACACCAAAAGGTTGCAGGTTCGATCCCCAGTTAGGGTGCGTACAGGAGGCAATGAATCGATGTTCCTCTCACTCTTTCTCAAAATCAATTAAAAAAATATCATATCCTCAAGTGAGGATTGAAAAAATTAAAGCTGATATTTCACATTTGATCTTATTTCATGGATATAATTATTTGCATATGCCACATATATCTTTCTGAAATTGATTTTCATCATACCTGTGATACATTTTCAATAATCAGATTCTTTAAAAATATTGATATTTACCCACTGCTTCTTCTTGGTCTGAGAAATTAGTTGTTTGTGCTGTGTTGCTAGTTTCTTGATTTCCTCTACAAATTCTTCTTTACACTTTTCCTTTACTTGTTTACATTTTCTGTCCATCTCACCCTGCATATTGGCGACAGCTTTATTTACAGCTTGTCTTTTTTCTTCTTCCATTTCAGAACGCAGCTGAAATGAAAAATGAGTTAACCCACAATATGTCAACTTACAATTTACAAAGACCTTAATATAAGTGGAACCTCAGTTCTTGAACTTAATTCATTCTGGAAGGCTATTTGAGAAGTGATTTGTTCAAAAACCGAAATCATTTTTCCCATTAGAAATAATGTAAACTGAATTAATCTGTTCAAGACCCTTAAATGATTCCATTTTAACTTTTCTGATATATAGTACATGCCTAATGCACTGTTTAAACTATAAACAAACACGTCTTTTCTTAAACTTATCAAACCACCCCTATCAGCCTTAAATGGATCACTTTAGTGCTTGTTCCAGAGGTGTCTTTCAGGAGGTCAGCCTGCAGCATCTTCCTATTTTCACATATCACTGCCTCTGAAATGCTGTCATGGGCTAACTGCTTTTCCTTCACCCAAATTAACACCAGTTTTTCTACCTCTTCAAATGCCTGTGATCATAGTCTCTTTCATACCCTTAGCACCATTAGCATTCTTGATGGCCTCTTTATGTTTTAAAATTGTGCTAATCATCCATTTCACTAGCAACAAAAGAAAAAAAACAAACAAAACCAAAACAAAACCCACAAAATCATTTGCTGAGATGTTAATATGATGTTAGTGGTAAACTGACTGACATACTCCTTGTTTGTGGCCTGAGAGACACTTTCTGTCATGAGGAGTATTAACAAGAAAAGGTTCTGAGGTCAAGAACCACATCCTGAAATCATTTCTGTGGTTAAGAACTGAACTGTTCCAAATGGGAGACATTTAAGAACCAAGGTTTGACTGTACTTAGTTTGTACTTAAACAATGTACCCAGTCCCTTTATTTCTCTGAGATCTGTGAATATTTAGCTGAGAGAAGTATTACTGTTGACTGAAATATTATAAAAGATACTTTATTACATTCCCAGTTTTAGTGTATTCCTAGTTTTAAAAAATAGCTGCTTGGCTGATACATGAGTGAAAGAAACTAAACTGCTAGAGGAAACCACTCACTCAGCATGCCCAGGGGTAAGAGGGCACCTCATGCTGTGGGGGCTTCTTACCTTTTCTAGAGCTTCTCGTACAACTCTTTCAGTTTCTCGCTTGTGATCAGACTTCATTCGGTCTTTAAAGTCATTGAAAATTTTGGTGTACTTGTCATGGCACATGCTTTGACACACTCCATCACTGGTGGTCTGGGTGCTTCGATGCAGCATTCTTGGTGAAGAGGCACTTAACTTCTTGGTCTGAGTTGACACTGAAACTTTTTCGATTGGCTGAGGCATTGTGGGGATTTCCTGGCTGGAACTGACTGCTTCAGTTTCAGGCTCTGGTTCCTAAAAGGGTAAGAGAAGTGCTTCAATGTAAAACAAAACCATTAACTTACTAGTTCAAGAATAAGCTCTTTTGGGATAGAACAGTGATATACATAAAATAGCCATATAAGAAAACCGTTTTAAAAAAACCCATGTAATTAAGACAGTAAATTCTATTAGGTATATTTTACCACAATTGAAAATTAAAAAATAATTTAAAAAACCATGCCATTAATAACTACAATGATTAACAGTAGCTTCATTTACAATTTCATTACGTTAACGCTATAATTTTTGCTTTTAGAAGACAAAACAGAAAAATTTATCATATAAAATCATTATCGATTTATAGTCACTTTTTTGGACTAGATTCATTAACAAATTTCCTAAAATCCTAAACCATTTTCATTGAATATGTGTTTGGACTATACCCAGATTTACACCTGGTTTTAAACTTTTTAAAAGGCTGAGCTTAACCCTAGTTTCCTCCTGTTTTTAAATGGCCTTACCGATGTACCAAACACTTTGTGTTTATGTTTAATAATGCTATGAGAACATATCAGAGTTCCAGAAAATACCAAAAAGTATACTCCCACATAGCCAGACTTGGTCAGTGGTTGCTTAACTGAGGTGGATACTTGGCATGGAGACTTGGCATGTGCGTTTTTCCAGTGACAGCACATAATGACAGAAAGGTCAGAAGACTGAGTTCAAACTTGGTTGATAGCATTTGACTGATGGCAATAAATTTCACAAATACACATCACGAGCAACTGTCTTGACCATAACTTTGAAAATATTTCCTGTGTCAATGCCACCTGGAAACCGCAAGGTGCAAAACTTACTTCTTTTTTGGGTTCCACACTTTGATTACGTCGCCCTTTCTTTGCTCTTGGTTCCTGAGTGACCTTTAGCTGTGGGCATCATAAAAGTAACAGCATATTATTCCAGACACTGAAACACTTCTCTGCTGAAAATACTAGCCATGGACCCACAGGTAAGAAGTAACTTATTCGATTTCATGAAGTTACCGCTTACTCATTACTGTTCCGATGTGCAAGGCTTGAAAGAGCTAACGTGCCTTTGGAAGAGGAGCAGTGCACTTACTCTCTTCAAACAGGCAGGGTCAGATCAGGGTCGTGGGTGGCTTAGCTATTTGAATTGGGTTCAGTTTCTTTTGCAGAGCACTTTACAAATGTTTACATGAAAGGAAGGAGAAATGTCAGAATCTGCTCTTTACAGCGAGGAGTGTTCACTAACAATGTTCACATTCAAAATAACTGACGGGTAGTTTCTATGGGGACACCACTCACCTGTTCATTGCTGGTAGAAGAGATACTAGATTCTGCCTCCTCCTCCCCACGGTCCTCATTCTTAGACTTCCAAAATCTTCCTTCACGAAGGAAACGCTGATGCAGTTCCAGCTCATCACAGGCCTTTTTCCAACCCATACTGCGCTTAACATGCAGCCGATGGACGTTAACTGTGATGTCCTGTATGTTTTCAGAAGGAATCCAAGCCCTAGCAACATTTAAAGGTATAGTTAGAAATTTCCAAAATGCTTGTGGACTCCACCCATTGTAAAGTATGATTTGTGGAAATTCCAATTTACTGAGGCTGTTAGTTATATGGCTTGAATAAAAAACGCTTACCAAGTTGAAAACAGGTGAGGTAACTTTTGTTGTTTTTAGTCATCAAAGCAAAGTTCTCAGATTGAAGTGATTCAAGTATCTCAGAACTGTTCACTGTTTTCTTTAATCAGCTCAAGCTTGTCACAGTTTATATATACATTCTGCATAAATCCTTTTTTAAATGTTACCTCTTGTTGATCTCAATACTCCAAGTTACTTAAAATCTAGCTATTTGCAAATGAGAACTACAAAAATAATTTGAAAATGGCCAGAAATTTTCATGAGAGTTGTACATAAAATATGAGGACTTCCAAAAATTATTACCTAGTGAGTTATATTTATATCACGTCCCTACTCATTAGATGAACCATGGTTAATGAATGAATAGAGAGGTTGTTTGAATCATTTAGCAACTAAGTACAAAACTATAAACACAACTTCAAGTATCTCTGAATTATGTGTAATATTGATCTAAAACTACAGAATAAAAACTGTATTTGGTTCTATTGGGAAAATGCTGGAAATTCAATAAAATTTTCCTGGGCACTAATCGGGCTGGACTGAAATTAGTGCCAATAAAGAATGCTGTTTACTGTGTGCCGGTGGAAGGAACCACAAAGCATACAACAGTGATTCAGGCCTATCTGATCCTGAGTGTTACTGCCACCAATAAAGGTATTTTAGTTCACTTTTTAAAAGCAGAAGCTTTCAAATTAAAAAAGAAAAGAAATAAAGGCAGAATATTTCTGTTACGAACAGTGCTGACTACCTGGAACAAACTCCTGAACTTTAACGTTAATTATCTACTTATCCCTGAATATAATAAAATTGATTCACATCTGTTCTTAATATGGGACTTAATTCTCAATGTAGTTCATAATACATTCCTATCCTCTTTAATCAATTCCATTATTATAGGTAATCAGATTCCAGTTTTAAAGGTTATCAGTAGGTATGCAAACTGATCTACAAAAAAAGAAAAAAAAAATAACAAAAATGGCAAACTCTCCACAATTTAAAGTGTTTAATAAACAGAGGTATAATCTAATTTGGCTATATCTATACATCTGTCAAACCTGAATGCTCTAAATATATTCAGAATAAAATGGCTAAGGATCTGGAGGAAAATGAACTCAAACTATTCTATTTTTTTCTTGCAATACCTGATTTCGTGCCAGTTCCTCCTAGCTGTGCCATTTCACCCTCCAGCTACATGCAGCAGAAGAAGTTAGCCTTGACACAAAATAAAAAAATCTTCTGAATCCTATGTGTCTAAAATTTTTAGATAAAATCTTATAGGAAACAAGATTTTTTTTGGGAAAAAACCCTCTGGAAATATAATTTTGTTTATAATTCTCTCTTCAGATGACAAAATTACTCTAAGGACCCAAGTAGATTAGCTCAACTATTCTTTTAAAATATTTTCTGCATAATATACTGAACCACGTAAGACAAATTAACTCACATTAATAAAGTATCACTCATGGTTGAAGATACTATAAAGCTGCTTGAAAATTGATGAAAAAAAAATTACAGGTAAAAATTCTGATTATCAATTATTCTAACCTAGCAGCATGGTCTTAAAAACTAAGTGGATTCTTATTTTTTCTAAGTCAACTGTGTTTTACTTAGTGACATTTTAAAAATTGAATCGAATGTTTCTTCTCTAATTTGCCCATTTGTATTTTAATGTTAACCTTCACTAAATATTTGCCACATACCAGGCACTATGCTTAGGTATTTATATATAAATTTTTCTTTCAACCTGCCCTGGCCGGTTTGGCTCAGCAGTTAAAGCGTCGGCCTGGGGACCAAAGAGTCACGGGTATGATTTCGGTCAAGGGCACATACCTTGGTCGCGGTTTGGTCCCAGCCATGCAAGGACACAACTCTAATCACTGGTCGGGGTCATGCAGGAGGCAACCAGTCGATGTATCTCTCTCACATCAATGTCTCTCTCCCCAACACACTCTATCTGAAGACAAATGGATAAATATCCTCAGGTGAGGATTAAAAAAAAATTTCTTTAGGTCTTAAATACTCTTGCCCTGGCCGGTTCAGCTCAGTGGTTAGAGTGTTGGCCTGTGAACCAGGGTCCTGGGTTCAGTTCCTGCTAGGGGCACATACCAAAAAAATAAAATAAAATTAAACTAAAAAAATAAATCTTAAATACTCTTATAAGATAGGTACTACTGAGGCCCCGATTTTATAAGTGAGTAAATAAGGCTGAGAGAGACTAAATAACTTGTACAAGATGACAGCAGAAAATGATCATGCAAGGACACAATGCTAATCACTTGACCTTCCTTGGTATCAATTTAGAGATTTCTACAGATTAATGTGTCTACAGAGAGACTGCTCTAACTCATTTGTGAAATGTGCACTGTTTCCCTGCCTGTGTTAATGGAAAACTGAAACAAACTGAATATGATGTACTAAGCACAGAGCATTAAATATTGCCATGTAATAATCATACAATTAAAACATTCAGTTTGTATTGAATTATGTAACCAATGTTTCTTGCCATGAAAGCAGTGTCAGCTAAGTGTGCATCTATCTATGAAAGAACAAAACTACCCTTTTTTGGAAATTTACACTATTCACAGGTTCCTTAGAACTAAACTTTTATTTAAATTAAATGAAAACTAGGTAAAACATCACTATGAAGAAGAATAAAGTCTCTCATTCTATAGCTTCTCTTATGGTAATAACGATACAAGACACCCTCCAGGCATATCAGGAGACAAGACACTTCATGGACTGTAAATTTAAATCCTTGCACAGTATGACTTTTAGATCATTTAGCTGACTTCTGGCACTTTCCCCCTTTAATTGAATATCTGAGCTAAATGAACCCTCCCCGCTAAAATTTCATGTGAATTATTTTTCCTGCTGTGGCTTGATTAGAATCATTAATCTCTGAGTCCTATGATAGTTCACAATACTTGAATTCACTTTTACAGTCAATGCTATTATAATACATTATTTAGAACAATATCTTAGACTTTCTAATTTTCAATGTGCAATAAAATGTAAGGCCTTCCCAGGTTCTCAACCTTCCTAATGCCGCAACCCTTTGTTCCTCATGTTATGGTAACCCCCAAACATAAAATTATTTTCGTTGCTACTTCATAACTGTAATTTTGCTACTGTTATGTCTTAGGCGACCCCTGTGAAAGGGTCGTTCAACCCCCAAAGGGGTCGCAACCCACAGGTTGAGAATCGTTGCTTAAGCCATGGCCGGTTTGGCTCAGTGGTTGGAGCGTCGGCCTGTGGACCAATGAGTCACAGGTTCGATTACAGTCAAGTAGTGCATGTTATCTCGGTTACAGTTTGTCCCCAGCCCTGGTCGGGTCACGCGGGAGGCAAGCAGTTGATGTGTATCTCTCACATTGATGTTTCTTTCTCTCCCCATCCCTCCCATTCTATCTGGTGATAAATAAAAAAAATATTTTGGGGTGAGAATTAAAAAAAAAATTAAGGCCTTAATATCACAATAAAGGAAGCAGCTATAATTTTATAGTATAGTTGAGCATTTTTTGTGTGAAATACTTAACTATGCAAAAATAATTTTATAGTATTAAGAATTTTTACCCTATACATATTATATTATAAAAATGCAAATTTTTACACTTTGCTGTATACATATCCCTAGCGAAAGAAACTTTAAAATCTAGATTGGAAACAGTGGCTGTTAGTTCCATGCATATAATACTTTTTTTTTTATCCTCACCTGAGGACATTTTTCCATTTTTTGTACAGACAGAGTGGAAGGGAGAGAGAAGAAGAGAGAGAGAGGGAAACATCGATGTGAAAGGGACACATCGAGTGGCTGCCACCCGCACTACCAACCAGGGCCGGGGACAAACTGCAACCGAGGCATATGCCCTTAGCGGGAACCAAACCCGGGTCTCTCTGGACTGCAGGCGGATGCTCTAACCACTGAACCAAACTGGCCAGGGCCATGCATATAATTCTTATGCATATCTCAAGTATTCACATACATTCTAAGATCACATGACTGACACTCTCTTCTGCTCCCAACTTGATTATTTTTGTCTATGGCTTTTTAACAGAGCCTTGGAAACATAGGTTGAAACAACTGAAATGTCATTACAATACTATGAAATGGACACATTCAGAGAACCCTTTTTCTCCACTTCCATCAGGAATTCAGACCCAGTGTTAACATGCATCTGAGTTCAACAGTGTCAATTACTGAAGCTGGTTTGCTTAGTTAACAGTATCTGAAATATACATAGAAACATAATTTATAGAAATCACTGTTAGTTGCCTAATCAAATTAAGTGCTGATTTATTTCTTCAACTGAAAGAAACTTCATGCTGTTTCTGGTTAAGAAGCCACTGGACTGAGTCTCAAGAACTCCACAGAGCTCAGCTATGACTGCTGCACATGGCAGTGATTACCTTTGATGGTGGTGACCAAAGAAGCGGACGTCAACCTGATTGTCTTCCTTCTGCATGACCTTGGCTGGCCAGAATCCAAAACCTTTCATCTTAGCCCAAACCAGTTCATGATTAGGTATCTGGAAATAAAATGTTCTACCTTGTCATATTACTTTTAAATTATCAAATACAAGTAGATCATTAACACTGAACTAGTTAGTCAAGTATAATTCATTATTTTGAAAATATTTCTAACTCCTTACTAAACATTTATAACTTTTTTTCTTTTCTGGGATTAACTGATTTTGCCTCTAAGTAAAACACCAAATTTACTTTAGAATAGAATATGGACCTTCATTTCTAAGAATATACAGGAAGAATACTCGCTTCATATCCTGTAGTACCATGGAATGAGGCAGTTGGGGGTAAACAGAAGGTCCTCACTGTGTTAAGAGCCTGTTAGAAATGGGAGGCTTTTTAGGCCAATTCAAGCCTACCTAATTAGACATTTAAATTTTCATAAAACTTTCAAGTGACTGAGAAGCATGATAACTTCTTGAAGACTGGCTGCGCTCAGATGGCCTTTTACATCCGTGTCTTTGGGGCCCCCAGAATACTCACAGGCTTCTTGTCATCACCCTTCCTGAAATCATGTCATTTAGGGGAAATTACACAGCTATTAATATATGTAAAGACTTAAATTTCTTGTGAAAAAATGAGAGGAAAAGCAAAAAATCTACTTTATATCTTTAGGGACTCAATGTTTATTCTTAAGTTCCTTATGGGCCCTAGCCAGTTTGGCTCAGTGGTTAAAGTGTCAGCCCCTGGACCAAAAAGTCGCAGGTTCAATTCCAGTCAAAGGAACATGCCTCGGTTACAGTTTGGTCCCCAGCCCTGGTCGGGGTTGTGTGGGAGGTAACCAATCAATGTTGGGAGGTAACCAATCAATGTCTCTCTCACATCGATGTCTCTCTCTATCTCTCCTCACTCTATCTAAAAATAAGTGGAAGAATATCTTCGAATGAGGATTTTAAAAAATAAATAAATGAACAAACACAGAATTGGATACTGATTCCAAGCTGTTTTTATACTTATAAAAACCATATGTACTATGATATAAAGAAACATATTTAGGAAGGATTATCTTTAAACTAACTAAATAAACTTCCTTAGAACATCGTACACTTAAGAAGTAAAACACAAAGTGTCACATACACAAGGATAGCAGAACCAATTATCAGGACGAGCATTTGACAAATAGAAGCAGTTCTTGCAAAGCTGTAGCTCATCCAGCTGAAAAAGAAAAACAACTATTTTAGCCTACATAAAATATCCATGTGTGTGAAACTATATAAAATTGATCCATGTAAATTAACATTCTTGTTCATGTACATAGCCTTGAATTTTGTTCCTAAGCTTAAATTTTAAATTTTCAATAATATTGGAAAAGTGCCATTTTCCTGTTCAAACCACTCCCATGGTCCTAGGTTGCATTTAAAAGAGAAGACAAATTCCTTACAAGGCCTGGCATGTTTGACCTCTGCATTCCAGCCTCACTGGTGCCTTTGACTATTTAGCATTTGGATTAATGCAATTTCCTCAGAAGGTCTTTCTCATCTAACCATATAAAATTCCCATTACCAATAAAACAGTCCTTACTTTTCCTCATTCTCAATTTTAGTCTTTGTTTTCTTTCATAACATCCTTTTATAACTTAAAAAGAAATATCCTTTGTCTGTTTCTTTGCGTCTCCATCTTCAGACTATAGCTCCTTGAGCAGGAAGCCAATACCTTAACACTATTTCATTCCTCCTAACACACTGCACAGCGTATAACAGACACTTAATAAATATTTGTTAAATGAATTTTAAAAAGCAAATTTGAAATGAATTCAAGAAACAAAACTTGTATATAATTAAAACACTTTTGCAAAGAAAATATGGTTATAGGTGAGTGTTTCAAATAAGAAAGATCCCATTGACAAAACATCGTCTTAAAATATGTTCTTCATTTATTGTATAAATATTAACTTCGTTGTTTGATTTTTTGCCTGTGTGGTATCTTTCACTGAAAGAGGGTAACATTTGTTAAGTGTCTCTGCCCCATACAAAACATGTACATGCATTAGTTAACTAATACCTTAAGGGTAATTAAAGAAGAGCAAACAAAATTTCTTTGTACAAATTACTTAGTAACTAAACCTCCCAGGACGTCTCTGAGAATAGTCCGCCAGAATTTTTTCCCCTCTATAGGCATTATTTCTCCTGTATGCCAAACATAGAAATATAATATTTAAAGAAAATGACAAAATTAAAAAATATATATAAGACGAGTGGAATTCTGAAATAAATTAATTGGGAATATAGTGAGAGAGTAATTACTAGGCATGGACAGTACCTCGTGACAAGTGTCTTTATACAGCATCCTTGCTATGTCAGCTTGCTCACTGTCTGCTGTAATTAAAGACAGAAATCCATTACCAGTAATCTGGAAACACAAAACTATCAAAATTAATACACTCATTTAAATTTTCGTTCAGTTTGAAAAAAGTGAACATTTACCATTTAAAATAAAATGTGTATTTTTTTAAAAGTTCAGGCAGTAAAACAAAATTCTCTAGGCAGCTTTAACTTCACATTCAACATAATACTTATTACCTAGGTATAAAGCTGCCCTTTAGCTTTAAAATAATAAAATATTAATGGGGAAACGACCAGAATTAATCACAGTGTTTATAAAAAGCCTTTCAATTAAGTTTGTAAATTTATACATAAAACTATAAAAAAGTAATACTTTCATCACTCAGTGTACTAGTGTTTTGCTTGTGGACAGTCAATTCTACAAGCTATAACTATATTACCAAATAGTTTAAAAATTAAACCATAACATTATTACTTACAGATCATTAAAATACTAACTTAAATGTAATGTTTTATAAAAGATATTTCTCAACATGGAATGTAAATGATATTAAAAAATGCAAAAGAAAACAACAAAAAATATTCAACCTCCATAGAAAATCACTGTGTTGTGGAGAAGCAGCTGAGCATCAGCTTTGAACTCTTCATAACTTCGGTATTTCCCTTCATTCACTTTCTGCAGTGGTCAAAAAACAAAATGGCAAAAGAGTTACTAGTGAAAATATTTGCCTGCGTGATGCTAACATGGTTGGAGTAGGGGACACAGCAGAATTTTCCAGAATGACATCATGGCTGCACCTGTGCCTCACAGTGTTGACGGACCACGTGTACGAGAAATCCACAACTCCAGTGCAGTTAGAATGTGACAGTGTGGTGAAGTGTGGCAGATCTGATGTCCTGCAGCCATTGCTGTGCTCTGTACTAATTGACTAGAGTGAACTTGGCAGCCTGAACATCTCATTCTATAGCAATGATAAAAGCTACTGCTAAGCTCTGTAAACAGTGAAAGCTTTAGGCCCGTGTGGTTCATGAGACCTTAACTACATACCTCCCAATTTTATAACACAGGAGAATAAAGATTGGAAAAAAAGAACTGTTAGCCTCTGTGACAGTTTAACATGACTAAAGACATGCTTATAATTCTGAATTGGGACTAGGTACTAATTTATAAATAATTTAAAAATAAAGACCCAGATGTTTCTCTAGGCATCAAGGCAATGCCAGGGTTTCTCCTACGTTAGACTGATATATGTCAAGGGTTTCCATCATCGAATTCTCTGTAGCATTGCCTTTAGCTGCCAAAGAGAAGGATTAGGGAGGAAATCTGATGGGTTTCTGGGGTAAGACAAAATTTTTAGTAGGGGGTATGTATGACAAAGTTAACTCAACAACAAGAAGGAATTTTCTTATCTGGGTGATATTTTTAGGAAACAGGTTTGTAAACCGCTTGACTTCTAAATGCTAAATTGCTAACGCCGCTAAAGAATAACTAAGAACCACCCTGGCCAGTGTGGCTCAGTTGGTGTGGCATCATCCAGTGCACAAAAGGTTGCCAGTTCAATTCCTAGTTAGGGCACGTGCCTGGATTGTGGGCTTGATCCTCAGTAGGGGGTGTGTGTAGGAGGCAGCCGATAGATGTTTCATTCTTACATCAATGTTCCTCTCTCTCTAAAAAATCAACTTTAAAAAAATTGACACTGTCAGAAAAAAACAAAAATAAAAGGAATAATTAATAACCCACCTTTCTGTTGAAATCCAAGACCCAATTCAGTGCACTTTATTTGGGGAAGGCCCTTCCCTCCCGATTCCCTAGCAAGGTACCTGCCTCCTATCTGTCACAGGGCTTATTTATAAACATTAAATTTCTGATTGTAGTGGGCTCTGGGATACTCAGGTATTGGCATTGTCTGGAGCTCCCCAGGTGACCCAATGTACACTCAGATGGAGAACAACTACACCTTTATGATTTGTGAGGTATGCACCTTGTCGCTTGCATTGGTCTGTATTGTAAGCTCCTGAAAGCATTAAAAAAAAACCAAAAAAACATGTCTTCCTCTGCTTTCCTATGGTGTTCTGCCATGACCAGCATTTGCCAAGCACAGGAAAAGATACCATCGATGGGATCAGACTGGGGATCTGGGAAGGTGCCATGCAGGAAAGGGAAGCTGCAGGGGCAGGAAAGGCAACTGGGTTCATCATTCTTCAGAGGCCTCAGAGTTTAGGAAAAGAAGCTATGACTGAGGCTATGAAATCTGTCGGTAGTAGATAAAATTTAAATTACTTGTTTTATTCCAGGATTTGCCAGCCACTTTAAGGAAATAACCTTCATTTAGCCTTTTCTTTCATTGAAATACTACACCTTCTGTCTTTCTCAGCTGCTAAAGGATTAGGAAACTAGTAAAATAATTTCAAATAATTCCTATAATCTTCCTATAAGCTATTATGGCCAACCATAAAATGACATATAGAAGTTACACAATTCGTAATTCAGCAACCCTAACTGAAAACATGTCTAAGTGTTCTAGGGAATTTTATTGTAATAAGTAATTAAGTATTAACAAACCCCATCAATCCTCAGCTAGCACTGACAACGTTAAGAACTTTAAGAATAACTGTTTTGTTCAAGTTCATTTCATTGTTTCCTAAGTCTCTAGATTAGTTCTGTGTTAGAATTTTTCCTTGAGAGAAATCCCCAAGTTCTACTGCTAAAAGTAGGGACCCATGTACAGATGTGACTCTCTACACTTGAAATATTAAACTGACCAGGCTACTATCCATTTCCTTTAGCCAACAAGTATCAAGAAATGTACAGGTCAGCCCTGGCTGGTTTGGCTCAGCAGTTGGAGCGTCAGCCCGTGGACCAATGAGTTGCGGGTTCAATTCTGGTCAAGGGCATGTACCTTGGTTGTAGCTCAATCCTGGCCCTGGTCAGGGTCCTGCGGGAGGCAACCAGTCAATGTGTCTCTTTCATATTGATCTCTCTCTCCCCCGCCCTCCCTCCCATTCTATCTGAAGATAAATAGAAAAATATCCTCAGGTGAGGATTAAAAAAAAAAATCTACAGATCACTTAAAACCAGGCTTTTTAAAAGATGACACCCAAATGGCACTAAAGTGAACATACAGATTTTAAAATAGTAGCCATGCACATGTGGTGGCCACTCCTGGCTGGTCCTAGTAAGAGACTGAGCAGAGCACCCTCCTCAAGAAGGAATGGCACCCAGAATCAGGCTTGGCTGAGAGTCTCTCAGTCACCTGGGAGCCACGGGGTGAATCTGAAGCAGTACGGAAGGCCCAGCTTTACCTCTTGTATGGTGGGGACGTCGACCGCTGAGTGCACCAGCCTCCGGTACATCGGGTGTTTGCTGTCCTTTCCCTTTTTATTAAGGTCTATAGCCTGAAAAGTGGTTAGATACATCAGTTTTAAATGGCTAGAGAAGAGACAGGTAAAATACCAATTTCTAAACAAGTACTTTAGAACTTAGTGGAAAAATGTACACGCGCGATATAGTTTAACATGGCATTCCTTAAGGTTTTGATAGGAAAGGCTAGTTTGGAAAAGTTCCATTTCACTTTAAACACTAATTATCAATGAGAATATTCTGATAAACACATTTTTAAAATGTAAATGTTTCTAATCTAAAGCAGCTAAAGAAATGCCTGTTCTAAAACAAAGATAGAACAAAAAATCTAAATGCTTCATATAAAACCATTTACTGTACAAAAGAAATATGACAGCAGTGGTTCCCACTCTCTAAACTGCTTATACATAGTTGTCACTTGACAGTCATTAACTGTGAACCAGACTGAAATATAATTGGAAGACTTGAGAAGACCCCATGGGGACAGGACTCACCCTCTCCTTCATGCGGGAGACAATGAACCTCAGGTATGTGCTCATTTCTTGTTTGTTTGTATTTTTCTTCTTGATACTCTGTTAAAAACAGATAAGACCAGATATAAAATCTGATCATTTATATGTATATATTTATGTAAAAGACGTCTATAAAAGATATAGTCTGTAAAGATTTCATTAAAAAATGCACTGTATCTGATACAGAGAAATCTTTGAAATTTGCATAGCAAAAATAACATTTACTGTAATAAGAATCAGAAAATATTATATTGTACTTGAAATAATACCTAAAATAAGCATTTGTTTGATATCTGGAAACTTAAACCAATTTTCAGATAAAAAGATGAAAATAATAATGATGATAACATAATAATGACATAATGTAGAATCCCTCATTTTGCCAATAACGACAACAACAAAAATCAATGGCTGAAGTCCTTCACAGTGCATTTTAAATTAGCAGTAGTGAATGGTGACTTTCAAAATAACATTCTTCTTCATTAAAAACATTATTAAAAGTCTGTTCATTTATAAATTATGTGTAGTGCAGTGGAACACACCTATATATCTATTTTAAAGTGCTATTGATCTATTCAGTAATAACTCCAATTTCTAATAGTCTAGCCTAAAAGCTAATTAGGTTCTTCAATTTATCTCTTAGAAAAATCTAACTTCACCAGAAGAAGAAAAAAACCAGGATTCTACTATGTATGTCCTTTCCAGACAGCAAAGAAACTAAGACAAACATTCCCGTTTCTTTAGTCAAGGTTAAGATACCATTGCAGACACTCAGCCATAAGTAGATGGCACCGCAGAAGACTGAGTAGGTCTGGGGTACTATTGGACAAGTGCTTTAACTTTTTCAGGCTACTAGATTATTACTCCCAAAGAAACTTTATATGCAGGAAATCATCTATAATATGTTAATACAGTGAAGGAACAAACATTTCTCATGTAACTGAAGTCTTAGCTAGAGCTCAAGCGAATTGATCATATGCACAATATTAAAATAATTTGAATAAAGAGTAAAAAAAAAAAACATTTTCTTAGCTGGAGACTATTTCACAGACTTCACATTTAAAGGGATTTGCTCTCTCTGCTTTTTACCTGAATTCTCTGGCAATGCACAGACACAGTCAGTGGTTCCCTCCTTACCAAGCTTTATGTTATGACCTGTGCACACAGCTTCTAAATTTATGCCATTTATAGAGAGCAGTTCTTCTCAACCTTGGCCATATCCAGAGACACTGGTGTAACTTCTTAAAATGCAGTTGGCCTTCACCTCTGAGCATCTGAGCGGGAACTTCTAGGGGAAGATCCTATGCTCTGTATCTGCTTATGTTCTCATCTATTTGTTAATTTCTCAGGTTGTTGTGACACATGGCCAAGACCAAGCACCAAGAATATAGATGTGGAGTTTAGAAATCAATGACGTTTCTTGGACCCCAGGTTTGTAATTTGTAATCTTTGATATGGCTTGTGAATTCTCATTTTTAACAAGATCCCCAGTGATTCTCACACACACAAACATATGAGAACTATTAATTAGCCCCCTTCTGTAAGACAGAGCATAACAGGGAACCAAGCTCTGTTCCTGCATTCTGCAAATCACACAGGAGTATAGAGGGAGCTCTCAGTGGATCTGAGGCACAATCAGCTATTAACACTTTTGGACAAATGTTTTTGCAACATGGACATCCTCCCATGCACCGCTTTTTATGCTAAACAGTTTGATAAACTTTTAGATACCGGGAAGAGGAAAAGTAAGAGGGCCAAGAAGGCTGCTTTTTTTCACCTCTTGGAAAACCTACATTCCCTTAAAAAGAATAAAAATAAATGTTTCCAGCTACATGCTCTATCACACCATATATTTAGGGTATAGTACTAAAACTGCTGATCCCAAATATTAACTTGATAATTAAATCATAAATGTGTGTAAGTTCAGCTGTAACAGCAATGTACATCAGGTTAGAAGTCTTGTAATATTATCTGTGGGGTTATATTTCTTTTAATAGAAAACATATTCTTTAGGGGAAATACACAATCACCACTTTATCTAGTGCTGAAGTACGTTTCCTAAATATTGTCTGCAGTCACCTAAGCAGTGACAGGCAGAATGGGTTAGTCACTGCATCTACCATGACACAGCCTTCGGGCTGCTGTGCATTTCACGTGTATGCAAGAGTATGTTTTTCTACTTTCTGTGCTCTAAACATCAACCTATAAAGTACTTTACTGTTAACTTTTTTTGGAGTCTAACCTCCTTTGTTTTTAGAGCCTTAGAAAACAAAGCAATTCAATGTTTCTTTATGGGAAAAATTGATGAGTGCTAGAAACAGATTATCACTACAGCCAAAACATTCTAACTACATCAGTCTTTCCTTGAAACAAAAACAATGAAAATGCTTTTAAACAGTAGGGAAAACCCTATTTTACTGTGCTTAAATGTAGGTAAATTGTGCATTAAATTGTTCTTGTTCAAATAAAGGTCCATATTCAGTTCCTACTTCCACAGAGAATCTACACAAAATGCGGGTGTCTCATCTCTCACAATGCTTTGGTTTCATCTGTTTAAACATTCCTAAATGAATTGCTAAATTGGTGTAACCATGTACAGCAACATTTCTTTCTTGTTGGAAAGACTGCAAGTGCAGCGTTCAGGCTGAAGGCCTTAATTTCACAAATACAAATGATAAATATAGGATGATAATCTAATTTTGTATCATGTTTAAATTTGCTTAGAGTGAAGTTGCTAGAGTATCTCTTTTCTACTATGTACATGCAATTAAAAGTGGTGATATGATCTTGGAAAAAGGACTATTTCAAGCAAAATATAAAAGAAAGAACAAGGGGGACAGGTGACTTCCATGGCTGGATATAACCTACCCCATCCTTCACAGCTCTAATTCCTTCAAAATAGTATTTCAGTAGGTCTTCTACCCCACTTAATACAGTGATACCCAGAATTACCTATCCTACTTCAGTGTTGATCAACTGTGGCTATCTGTGCATTAGAACCACCTGGGAAAGCTTTTACAAACCACCAACATCCACTTTATAGATAAAGTTCTAGAACAGGTGCAATGTTATCTGTGATGGAAAGTAATGAGGACAATGGCTGTCTGGGGGTGAGGATGAGTCAATGGTCCTGGTTCTCTGCCTCGGTGGGACTTGAATGCACAGGTGTGTGTGCATCTGTCTGTTCATCAAATGGCACATTCAAGACTTGTGCAGCCCTGGCCTGCTGGCCTGTGTGTCAAAGGGTCCGGGTTCAATTCCCAACCAAGGGTATATATCTGGGTTGCAGGTTCGATCCCTGACTCTGGTCAGAGTTATACAGGAAGCAGCCAATCAATGTTTTCTCTCACACAATGATGTTTTTCTCTCTCTAGCTCTCTCCCTCCCACTCTATCTAAAAATCAATGGAAGAAGATCCTCAGGTGAGGATTAACAAAAAAACCAAACAAAAAAGACTTGTGCAAACACTGCAAAGTAAATTTACTTCAAAGAAAAAACTGCCAATGTTGAGATGCCAACCCAGAGAGTGTGCTAATGCTGCCCAGGGAGGAGCCCAGGCACTCACCCTGTGAACATCCCAGGTGTTTCTGACATGCGACCCTGACTGAGAACCACTGCTTGGCATTATTAAAAAGGCTATGTATTTATATAAACTGGTGCAGTAGTTTCAATGGAAATCTTGGCTGCTATACTGAGAAGTGTTAAGTGGTCATCTTCAAAAGTTCTCTCTTAAAGTATTGCCAGATCTAGTAACTTTCTCCATCTTCTTGCTCAAACAAACAGAAATTTGTCCATTCTCTGCAGAAACTGTTTTAGAGACTTCAATGATTTGGGCTATATAGAAGGAATCACCAAAAGGAGTTTCACAGACCAAAAAACTTATTTTGTTGAAAGCCTCTGCTACTTGTTTATTTTGTACTGCTGCCCAATACACTTTTTTTTTTTTTGGTGACACATACTGAACTTTATTGCAGATGTAGGACAAAAACTGAAATGCATACCAGCACTCAGGCTGGTAAGTGAACAATTGCTCTGCCCTGTGCCTGGACCTTGTGTTACTCAAGGCATGCTCAAAGACTAAAAGGATCCTGCTTCCCAGACTCGTAGGTCCAGGGAGCTTCCTCAGCAAACTGAAGCAAACAAAAGAGAAGACCCTGAACAGATACAAAACCCTTCCCAATAATTTGTAGGGACAAAACATTTGCTCTAAGATGCTTTCATGTTTGCTAAACTTAAGGGCTTTATGACAGTTTCCAGTTACAATTTAGAGACTTAGTATTTCACACAAGAATCAACAAAGCATTGTAGCTTCTGCCCCAGAGCTGCACTATAAGACTTCTGGGGATTTCTTAGGTAACATGTTGTGAGCGGCCTATGTGACATTCACAGCAAGTGTCTCACTGTCTGTCGACCAAACCAAGGCATTTACAGTGGCTTCAGAAAAAACTCCTCTAATAGAACGTAAAGGGTTAGCTTCTAAGGTAAATGCTATTCTGTTTGTAACATAACTAAGCAGATAGCTCTCGACAAGTTCAGAAAACATAAAGGTAATGCTGTATAATATTTGCAGATTATTTCAGATCCAATACTTTCTCAGGCTTTGAAGAACTGTACCTATTCTCTACTTGCAAACTTCAGGACTCCTCAGTAAAGACCTCTCTGTAACAGTGTGTAGCTCAGAATCCATTATAGTAAAGCCCAATAAAGTTCTGATGACTGTTCACATCACTCAAGGAGTGATCTGAGTCAGTATCTGCAAATTCTCAAGAGACAAACTTTCCATTCCATAGCCAAAGTTGTTGCAACCATTTTAAAACGACAATAATCACATGGTTAGAGCTGTGTTACAAATATGTGTGAAGCATCCACTAAAGTGAGATGCTGCTCTTTAGTACACTATTGACAACTGAGGAACTGTTTTCCTCTCCTTTAAGGGAAAAAAATAATAGAAAACCTTGAACATCTTCTTGAGTAAGAGATTCATTCTTAAGCCAGCTACAAACAATTGCTGGGATAGCAAATCAGATGAGTCTAGTTAGATAACACAAATGAAACATGAA